GTTTATTCGGAGATATTTTATTTTATTTTTTTGCAGCTATTGTGAAGAATATTTCCGTGTACTCTTTCTCTGATTCCTTGTTACTGGTATATAGAAAGGCTACAGACTTTTGTAGATTAATTTCGTAACCTGTCACTTTACTGAATGTGCTACTAATTTCTAGGAGTTTTCTGGTGGAATTTTTGGTGTCTTATATATCATCTGCAAAAAGGAATAATTTGATTTCTTCTTTTCCAATTATTACTCCATTAATTTCTTGCTCTTGACTTACTGTTCTTGCAAGAGTTTCAAGCACTATGTTAAAGTGCAGTGGAGACAGTGGACAACCTTGTCTGGCTCCTGATTTCAGTGGGAATGCTTCCAGTTTTTCTCCATTTAAAATGATGTTGGCTGTGAGTTTCTTATATATGGCTTTAATTATGTTGAAGTATGTTCCCTCCAGTCCAATTCCCTCTAGGACTTTGAACATAAATGCATGTTGAATTTTGTCAAAGGCCTTTTCTGCATCTATTGAGACGACCATGCCGTTCTTCTCTTTGAATCTTATGATGTTTATTGACTTACGTATATTGAGCCATCCCTGCATCTCTGGGATAAAGTTGACTTGATCATAATGGATGATCTTTTTGACATGTGTCTGTATGTGGTTTGCAAGTATCTTGTTGAGAATTTTTGCATCTATGTTCATTAAGGATATAGGTCTATAGGTTTCTTTTTTGGTTGTATCTTTACCTGGCTTTGGTATTAGAGTGATGCTGGTTTCATAGAAGGAATTTGGAAATTCTCCCTCCATTTCTATCTTTTTTAATAAATTAAGTAGTATTGTTTGTAGATCTTTTGTAAATGTCTGATAGAATTCTGCTGTAAATCCATGTGGTCCTGGGCTTTTTTTGAGTCCAGAGGTTTTGTATTACTGTTTCAATTTCTTTTTGTGTTATGGGTCTGTTTAAGCTGTTAATCTCTTCTTGGTTTAGTTTTGGTGGTTCCCATGCCTTTAGATATCTGTCCATTTCTTTTAGGTTTTCAAATTTAGTAGCATATAGGTTTTTAAAGTATTCCCTTATAATGTTCTGTATCTTTCTGGTGTCTGTTGTGATGTTTCTCCTTTCATCTCTGATTTTGTTGATTTGGAGGAGCTCTTTCTTTCTTTTGGTTACCTGGGCTAGTGGTCTTGTTTATCTTTTGAAAGAACCAGCTCTTGGATTCCTTGATTCTTTGTATTGTTTTCTTTGTTTCAATTTCATTAATTTCTGCCCTGATTTTTGTTATTTCTTCTTGTCTACTGGGTTTGGGTTTCATTTGTTGTTGCTTTTCAAGTGTCTTGAGTTGCAGTTTTAAGTCATTTATTTGTGTTCTTTCTAATTTTTTAATGTTGGTACTTAGAGCCATAAACTTCTCTCTAAGGACAGCTTTCAGCATGTCCCAGAGGTTTTGTTGTGTTGTATTGTCCTTTTCATTTAGTTCCAGAAATACTTTTATTTCTTAATTTCTCTTTTGACCCATTCATCATTCAGGAGTGTGTTGTTTAATCTAGAGACTGTTTATGAACGTGATGTTGGCCTAGCAGCAGCACTGTTCTAGTTATTTCTAATACATAGCTCCAAGGGAAAAGTTTAGTATTTTAGCAAACGTATTTGTTGAGGTTTGTTTTGTGCCCCAGTATATGGTCTGTTTTGGAGAAGGTTCCATGGGGTGCTGAATAGAAAGTATGTCCTTTTGTCCTTGAGTGGAATACTTGGTAGTTGTCTGTTAGGTCCATTTGATATATGGTATATTCAGATGTCTCTCTGTTAACTCTCTGCCCTGTTGACCTATCTAATGGTGACAGTGGGGTATTCAAGTCCCCTACTATTAATTAGTTGGGATTAATCTGTGTCTTAAAGTCCTTTAGTATTGTTTTTATGAAGTTGGGTGCACCAGAGTTCAGTGAATATATGTGCATGATTGTAATATGTTCTCGATTCATTGTTCCTTTGATCAAAATGAAGTGGCCCTCTTTGTCTCTTCTGATTAGTTTTAGTTTAAAGTCTATTTCGT